TTCGACAACATGAAGCTGGGTGGGCAAGGCCTGGCATGGGTCCGTTTAGAGTACTGTACATGTATATATATATATATATATATATATATATATATATATACATATACTGATCCAAGCATCCAAGCAGAAAGCTTTACTTTGGTCTCAGGCTCGCAAGACCTGAGTGGTATCCTGGAGGACGGGGGCATCCACACATTTACGACTACTTAGGTCTAAATCAAAATAGCCTGAAACCTTACTATACTGCTGCTACTACTACTACTACTACTACTACTACTGCTACTACTACTACTACTACTACTACCACTTGCTACTACTACTACTACTACTACTACTACTACTACTACTACTACTAATACTGCTACTACTATATATTACCACTAGCTACTACTGTATCCAGTATATATACTACTCGCGAGATCTATTGGTTACTCCGTGCAGGAGAGCTGTGTGGTGTGCAGCAATGTGTGCTTGAATGAGGAGGACACGATCAAGCAGGCTGGCACGAGAGTTCTCTTTAAATGTCATTTTATTAGGGTTTAAAGTTTCAAGGTTAGCTAGGGCTCTATTTGAATAGATTAAAGGCTAAGATTCTGGCTTTTTGGTTTCGGGAACCTTCCCTGCAGGGAAGCAAGATCTACTGCAGCACCAAGTGTCTTATGAAGGCTCTGACGGCGATGGTGGATGAAGACAAGCCAGCACAACGAAGCCACACGGCGGACACCTTGGATGAGATTGTTGCAACACTGCAAGAAAGCGAAACTCTAGACTCAGGTGCAGAAAGCATGCCAACTTTAGACCCAGTTCGTGCCGAACCTCCCGCAGCAACTCCGGTAGTGCCCTCGACAGCCCTTGCAGAACTCCCAGCATCAAAGCCACTTCCTTTGGAAGCCCACGCAGAAGTCCCAGCATCAGAGCCACTTCCTACAGAAGCCCAGGCAGAAGTCCCAGCATCAGAGCCACTTCCTACAGAAGCCCAGGCAGAAGTCCCAGCATCACAGCCACTTCCTATGGAAGCCCAGGCAGAAGTCCCAGCATCACAGCCACTGGAAACAGAGCAAGAAGCCGACCAAAGAGTGCAACTGGAGCATGATCTCGAACGGCTCATGGTTTTTGAAGAGGCCACAGCAGCAACGCAGCGAGCAGAGCAAGCAGAGAGCATGCAGGTTGCCGTGAACAAGCTTGTCATGGCCATGCTGAAAAGGGGAAGCATTGATGCAAACAAGTCTGCCAGGATCCAGGCAGTGCTCGGACGACGTGATTCGCTCGAGGATATCGAGAGTCTCGCAAGCGAGTTGGAGCAGCAAGTTGCTTCGGACTCCCAGTTGGTTTGTCCTGACCCGGCAGCAGGCTCGCACCAGGCGCCGCCGCCAGCAATCGCGACCCCGACAGTCAAGGAGGAGCCCGTGAAAGAAGACCCAGCCCCGACAGTCCCGAAGAGTGCAGTGAAGAAAGAAGCTCCCACGACAGAGCCGAAGAGTGCAGTGAAGGAAGAAGCCCAAGCCCCCGCCCACACGAGCAGTGCAGAGGCAAAGGCGAAGCCACCATCCAAAGCAGGGCCAAAGGGAGACAAGGAAAAGACCCCCGAGGAGATTATCGCTGAGTTTGAGGAACAGGAGACTAAGAGGCTGGCACACAACAGCTATGTGAGGTATGGCCGATCCCTTCGCAACTCGATCCGAGAATCCAAACCCGAACCTCAATCCCGAATTACAAACCAAACCCTGTGATTTCGAATAATGATTAATGTGTGCATCCGAAGCCTTAATTCTTCCGATACATTAATTAATTACTATTTTCGAAACCTCCTTAACCCTAGACCCCTAAACCCTGAACCTAAACCCTACAACTCAAAGCAATGATCATGGCTAATCTCAGCCCAGGCAGCAACAATTGCCCGCCCGAGATCTACAGCAAGGTCTTCCATCCCGGTGGGAAGTCACGTGCTATGGCCGCCTCAGCTTATAGCGGGTTTAAATGAAAGCTATTGCGGTTTCTATGTTCGGTTCTAATAATAATAATAGTATATGTGTATAGGGTTTAGGGTTTAGGGTTTTGGGTTTAGGGTTTAGGGTTTAGGGTTTGTATCTGTCTACACACCCATCTATACCAATATATAAATTATAGTGTATATATATATACTATAATTTATATATTGGTATAGATGGGTGTGTAGACAGATACAGATATAGCTAGGTGTATATATGTATATACAGATATATAAGCTTAGGGTTTAGGTTTATAAGTTACGGCAAATGTATTAGCACGCGAACACTGGACTGCAGGTGGAACGAAGATTATGCGGCATTTCTACGAAATGTATGTGTCCGCCAATGAAAATTGGCTCCAGTCCTCCGTCATGGTCAACATCCGGAATTCCTCTAAAGGAAAAAAGACCGGCAAGTATGTATGGAAGAAATGGCAAACGCTGGCCGATGAGTGTTTCATTTGCACAATAATCAGTATTTGTCTTTTCCTTATAAACCTACGAAACCCCACAATGAAGCTTGGGTACCGCTCTGCCTAGGCATGGGGAAGACATCGCCAACGGGATGGCCTTGAACAAGAAAAAGGAAGACCCCACGGGCTCGGGGACATGGTGGATGAAGCATCCGGATGTGGATAAGAAGGACCAATCAGCCCTTTAAATATCGGATCCCGATAGTATAAACCCTTATTATAAGAACCCTAAACCAGTAGATACGTGTGGGCTAGAAGGACCTATCAGCCCTTTCGGATCCCGAAATAGTATAAATCTTTAAATCCCAATAGCCGGTAGAGACCTAGCCTGTGCAAGGAGTGGGAGCTGTTTCGGGTCTTTGACTCGAAGGTCGAGTTGAGGGAGGATGAAGAAGAAGTGGACTTCAGCCTTGGGTTCGAGATGAACTTGGATGGAGAAGGAACGAAGCAAATGCTGCTACTTGCTCTGATTTAACTATATGCTTCACTGCAAAGCGAAACCCCTGATTATCCGAATCGCCACAATCTAATTCCCTGCTCCATGCTGATCCGAGGTCCGAGTGCATGAAGGGCCCGTCGCTGGTCGCTGAGCCTGGGAAGCCGGCTTTGACAAATCCGGCTCCGGCTCCGAAAGGTGCCGGAGGCGATTCCAATGGTTTGCCCCCGCCGCCCCCGCCGAAACCAACAAAGACCCCGAAGCAAAAGACAGCATCCCAGCAAGCTTCCGAACTTGTGAAAAAGGGTGCTGTCAAAATCACAGAAGCCGACGGCCTCAAGATGATGCTGCAGAAGAATGGTGTGTGCCTTCGCTGCAGCTTCCCATTATTTTGCTGGTTTTATTAGGTTTCCTGTTTGCTGCTATCCTAAATCCTACCCGTGCAGGGGCGACGCTTTCGCTGATGCACTCATCAAAGACATGGCCCCGGCGATTGGGTCTATGAAGGATGCCTACAAAGATCTTCAGCAAGCCATGACCCAAGGCGGCGGAGACGACGATCTTCTGCCATTGGTTGCTGCTATGATCCAAGCATTCACGAGCTACGATGAGAAGTACAAGTCTGTGAAAAAAGCCTGCCCTTCCAAGGCGAAGCCAAAGGCCAAGTCGCAGAGTGCTCCCGAGTCCGAGCCACCGAAGGTGTAATCTCGGATGGCAGGATTTTGCTATGATGTTAGCAAGGGCAACGGTGCTACTTTTGTTTGTGTGAGCAGAACAATCTCCCATCACGCCTGGGCTGCCTGTCTAGCCTGCTTAGCTTACACCCCTCATCGCGATGCTAACTTAAGCAGCCATAATCCCTACATAAATAAACACGCAGCAGGCTGGGCTTAGATGCAGCTTTTAATGGTGTGCGAGCTCGATTGTGCTGAGGGAACTCACTTGAAGTCGCCGGCATCGTGTGAAATCAGCATCGCATTATGTACATACTGGATTCAAGCATCGTTTCCCCTGCTAGATTGCTACACTATAGATTTCGGTGTTTTGCAGTTTGACTATATAGGGGCTGTAGGGTTTAAGGCTCCAGCTTAAGAGTAGGGTTGCCAGGCCAGCACATATCCCAATCATGCTCTCCCAACAGCAAGGAAAATCTACGCAAGCCGAGTGTCTTGAAGCTGGGATTTTGTACAAACCCGTATCGATATGTCGAGATCGAGAACCCAAACCCAAAGCCTCAGCACCCATACTTCAATAGTTCAATCGAAACCGCAAACCCTTAAATTAGTATAGACCCCGAATCGAAAGCCTCAACACCCATACTTCAATAGTTCAATAATGAAAACCCAAGCCCGATTATATAAGGCTCTACATAATAAAAAGACGCCCCTTTAAAGAGTCCTCCCTTTAGTGCCCCACGCAGGTGTTCCTGGCACTATTCGAAATCGCCTACTGAGTGGTGTGGGAGCTGGCGAAACTTAACTGCATTTATATACAACACTAATACACACATCAGCATCTTCGAGCCGCACGGTTCAGGATCCCATGCTGTGCACCGAAGCAGAGGCGATAACTAGCCAGGGACTCTTTTGTCAAAGCTTCAGTTCAGATCAGGTTACAATTGGGGGGTTTAAGTTGCCCTTATATTACGAATTGCAGCCTAAACCCTAAACCCAAACCGGTTTGCCCTGATCATGAACCCTAATATAAGCCCTGTATATTGAAGATTTAAGCTAGCCCCTAGCTATCCGAATCCAAAACCCAAACCCTCCAAATGCAGCCATCTCCCACAATCAGGAATGGAGCAGCAATGCCGCCCAGGAGTTGGCAGACTGCATCAGCATCGAGCCTCGGCTTTTCAGTATGGTTGGGTTTGCTATACGAGTCTGTTCGTGATTTCGAATATAATTAGGAGCTGGGAAATGCAACGCCGGCTGGGGTGGAGGATCTGGCTGCATGTGGGGCTCGAGGCTCTCAACCGGGCAATGTCTGGAGAGATGTACGGGCTCGTTGCAAAGCCGAGGGAGTGCCTTTTCTTTAAAATATTAGAGTGGAACCTTGTAAGCACTGCAGATTGGTTTTGTAAATAGAATATGAGGTGCCTGAGATGGATTCAGTCATAATCTATGTGAAAGCACGAGCAGATCCCAACTGTTCGGATGTGGTACCGTTCGAAGTTCCGATCTTCGCTCCGCATCGCCTCACCGCCTGGTTGGTTCGTACTGGTCGCCTGCAAATGGACCGAGTGGCTTCGCAGCAATTCTTCAGACACTTCACGGAGCAGCGAGCTCCTTGGATGGAGGATTCGGCTTATGCTGCTACCAATTACTACCCGTATGGGCTATATGGTGACGATGCTGAATATACGGTCACCAAAGAGAAGCTGCTGGTGATTTTCATGAGCTTCCCGCTACAAGAATCGAAGAAGGTGCTGGAAACTAGATTTCCGGTCTGTATGCTCCGCACCGAAAGGATCCTCGGGCCAGAAACGTTACAACCGATCTGGGACTATTTGGCATGGAGCTGCAACTGCCTTATCGATGGTCGCTACCCGGGCAAATCGCTTTCTGGAGAAGTGATTAGAAGCTCCGACCCTCGTTGTGCACCTGGGAGTTTGCTCTGCGAGGATGGTGCAAAGTTTCGCTTGGTCGAGCTGCGAGGCGACTGGAAATGGCATGTTCAGGGTTTCAGGCTCCGAGGACACTACGGGGCGAACAACGTGTGCCACATATGCCCGGCTTCGAAGACAGATCCGAGATTTCCCTACTGTGATTTTCGGAGAAACCCTTGCTGGCGGTCTCATGAGAGGTCCCACAGAGACTTCATGCTGACTATGTTGGGGGAGCCACTGAATTCTCTTGTGTACGTGGCTGGCTTTCACTTTCGGTTCATAAAGTATGACACTATGCATTGCACGAACCTCGGGGTTGGACAATTCACGAATGGAGGTACATTCAAGGAGCTCCTGAAGATCAGTTTTTGGCCCGCAAGTGATAGTACAGCTACGTTCCGTGCAGCCTACAAGTCCTTCAAAGCCTTCCTGTCAGCTCAGCACTTGAGCTGCTCCCAGCCACTGTTCAAACCGTATATGCTCGTGCAAACTGGCGAGGACTACGGCTTGTTTGCTTCCAAAGTTTCGACGTCAAGATAGCCGAGTAATGTTTTGTGTATGGACGATACGAATAGCTTTAAGTCTGTTTTCCCTAGCGGGTTTTAGGATTAACTTTCGGTTTAGGCTTTAGGGTTGCTTTGCTGCAGGGGTTAGATATGCTGAAAGGCTTACAACTCCAGAATCATTACTAGCTGGCTGGCTTCGGAGTGTGGCAAAGCTTTGGCTACGAACCCGTCTGAAAGAATATATGCAACTGCCCACTGTGTTTATTCTCTGCATCGTTGGTATTGCTTGCTGGAACACGCCGGCCGGTACCTCACAGACACCGCTACTTGATTTTTTCAGCATATAGCTAGGGTTTCGATCGGTTCAGACTTATAATAATATATAAAGGCTAGGGTTTAGCTTAATAGCTGGGTGATTGATCAGTGAGGAAGCCGGCAATATCTTGGATGCAGCCCTGGAATACCTTCACTGGTACTTCAAGTTGTCACAAGCAGCAGCAGCCGACAAAGAGCTTTCGGATTCAGATCATAGAATAAGGCTTCATAATAATTGGATGCGGTTCAAGCTTATCAGAAATTCTTTCCTTCTTTTTCCTTCTAATAAGCTTTTCGAAGCCAATACCGCCTAAGGCTGCTCTGGCAGTTGCGACCCAAGCACCACGCATACCACCATTTGAATCTAGATGCAGCTGCAAGCAAGTACAACCCTCGCTTCTTTTCCTGTTGGAGAGACGAATCTGGCATGGGCATTGCAAAACGTGCCTTACCATGACAAGAATTACTTGTCCTATGCTGGTTAAAATTATTCGAAAAAGAAACAGAATTTAGCCTATCCACGTCTCAGCTGTCCTATGCTGGTTAAAATTATTCGAAAAAGAAACAGAATTTAGCCTATCCACGTCTCAGCCCGGATATGTTTGCTGAGGAATTGCTCGGACATGTCAACCAGAAGCTCTGGAGGATGCAGCTATGCGAAAATGGTATCTTCAGTTTCTCGACTACATATAGATTTCAAATGCTCTGGGTTTCCGAATGTGGTCGAAAGCGAACTGCAACTCAGGTTATGTGCAGACGTGGCCACCTTGAAAGCCAAGAGGCGGTGGCGGCATGGCCAGTTCCGGCCCACGATAGGCAGCTAGCTCTCGGCTCGGCATAGGCTCACGGAAGATGTGTAGCTGTAGTCTTACATTTCGATTATGAAGAAGCTTGCTTTGCAATCGTGGCCTGGCCGAGTGGTTGATTGATCGCTTCGAGTTGGCCCTTGGAAACAAGTCGTGTGCCCAGAATGCTGTTAAGTCGAGCTTAAAGCCACAGCAATCAAGCTTCCAAAGACACCCGTATAAGCTATGTAAACTTGAGAATCCTCAATCTGAGACTATGGCTCCCAAGACCTGTCTAGCAAAGGCTTTCATCAACGCCTTAATAGATGCGGCCTCGGATGCTTAGGGTTTTGGGCTTCTACTGTAGGCCTTGAGAGTGGCTTTACTAGACCCAAGAGTAGCCTAGGAATAAAAAGGGTGCCCTTTTTCGTTTAAAGGGGCTTATAAGGGAACCTGAACCCCCAAACAAGGGGAATAAGGGCCTACTCTAGGTCCTAGTTTAGGGTCTACGGGATTTGGGGTTTAGGGTTGAGGGTTTAGGGTCTAGGGTCGGGTTTAGGGTTTGGTTATGGAAGGTCCTCTTAGAGATGTAGAGATCTGCAAGGGTTCTAAAAGGGAGACTGCGAAACGCTTAATTCAGGAACATGCTGCTGACTTAGATGCTCGAAGGATCCTTCTGCGATTTGCGCCATATTCTTACATCAAGTAGTTTCGGGGTCGCAGGGCAGGGTACTGCTTATAGACTCTAGTAGGCCACTGAGGAGGAATTATTTGGATACTTGGAGTTTGAAAGGGTCGTCGTTCACTTCTACTCGTAAATGATTTCGAAACTCTAGAGATGAAGACCATGGACAAACGTTTTCTTAAGTACTGCAGCTCTGACGATGAGGATAGATACGACCATGAGCGCCTAACTGACCTCGTCTTTTAAGTAGCTGGTCAGTAGTCGTATTCTTGGCAGCACCGTGTTTTATGTTGAGCGATCGTGCTAAAAAGACATCAAACGTAGTGTTGTCAGCGTTGACGACCTTGCTGTCGTTGATGTCGCTGCTGGTGTTTCCGTTGGAGGCGGCAGCACCGGCTGTGGTGGTGGTGGTGGTGGTGGTGGTGGTGGTGGTGGTGGTGGTGGTGGTGGTGGTGGTGGTGGTGGTGGTGGTGGTGGTGGTGGTGGTGGTGGTGGTGTGGTGGTGGCGGTGGAGCAGCAGGTGGTGGCGGTGCTCCTACCTTTGTTGCTTAGCGCGTGACAGGAGATATCGATGCTTCTGATTAGCATCAATCAAGGTCCGAATTACGGTCATGTTTGACTGTAGGGGTGAAGATGGACAAAAAACGGCTGTCCACTGCAAGGGCATGACCACCATCATCTTGCAAGTTTTGTGCTCCTGCTCTGTACGGTCAACCGTATCCGTAGCTCCGCTCGAGAACTCCCTTGACTACGACTAACAGTTTAAGGAAAACTCTAAACCCTGACTACCAGTCCCATGTAGGGCTGCTATGGCCTGATATATCTATAGTTTGAATATTTGATTGTTATTCAGCTGCCTGAGTGCGGGCAGTATCCAAAACCATGCTCCCTAAACCCTAAACCCCCTAAACCCTAAACCCCCTAAACCCTAAACCCCCTAAACCCTAAACCCCAAACCCCCTAAACCTTTAAACCCTAAACCCCAAACCCCCTAAACCCCATCCGAGGTGCCCAAGCCCAACCATGGGCAACGAACGGCGAACTGATAGCTGCGGCCTCACTCGACGTTTGTTAATGGGTGGATACTAGGATACCCAGTAACCTAAGAATGAAAAGGCCTCTCTTTTTGGTATTGGGTAACTTTATAAGGAACCTAGGACTACAAAAAAGGAATAAGGGTACTACTGGGCATCCTAGGATATCTAAATTACGGTCCCTTCGAGGATCCTTTCTTAGAGTGCCGTACTGTTTTGGGGGTTCCGCTCATGTAGAGAACCAACCTAATGCCGTTTTGTGCCGGGGGGTTCAGGTGTCAGGCCTACTTGTCGTGTATCATGGGGAACTAAAAGGTTAACCTTTTGGTTATATAGGGATTATATAGGGACGACTACCCGAAAAATGCTAAAGGCTACTTACTCGACTACTAGGCAGGGCTTATGCAGGGTTTTGCTGTGGCTTAAGCTTCAGGGCAGTTTCGGGTCAGGGCTCACATCGAGGCCTCCTTACGGGTTCAGGTTGCCTGGCTGGTTGCCAAACTGAAAACACGAAAACACCCGGGGACTGAACCCCACACCCTAGACCCCACAGACCCTGAGTCTCTAAACCGAGACTTGCCAACAAGACTTCGCAATTCCACACTTCCCAAAACCTCGCTAGACACCGGCAACTTCTTAAAGTCCTTCCAAACTAAACTCCGGAATTGCCTAAAACCCCAAGCTCTGAGCAGCATGGAGATATCGTGAAGACTCTGCTTGCTACTGTAGAGACCAACTACCGAGTAAGGACGAGATCTACTCAATCATCGGGTTAAGGGTGTAAGGCTAAACCCTAAACCCCTAAATCCCTAAACCCCTAAATCCCCAAACCCTAAACCCCTTAAACCCTAAACCCCAAAGTAAGGAATTCTGTAGGGCCGAGATTCGCTCAATCACCGGGAAGAGGACCCCTATAAGCTTGAAGATCGCCGTGGCGGAGGCCAGCTTACTCAACCACTTGAGCAGGCATAACCTCGAACGCTCGCGTGCTATTTCTAAAACATGCGTTGCAAGGTCTTCATCCCTAAACGTTAAACCCTAAACCCTAAAGTCTTCATACGGGCTACGTAGGGAGCGTGGGCGTAGGAGCTCTAAGGCCCGGGCTTCTTCTTCGTTTTGGGGTTTAGGGTTTAGGGTTTTGGGGTTTAGGGTTTTGGGGTTCAGGGTTTGGGGTTTGGGGTTTAGGGCTTAGGGTTTAGGGTTTTGGGCCAGTTTGGGGGTTGAAGGTTTAGGGTTTAGGGGTTTAGGGTTTTGGGGTTGAGGGTTTAGGGTTTTGTGGTTTAGGTTTTTTTCGTTGAAGGTTTAGGGTTTAGGGGTTTAGGGTTTTGGGGTTTAGGTTTTTTTTTGTTGAAGGTTTAGGGTTAAAGGGTGCAAAGGCATACAGTGTGGGGCCCTCGGCACAGTCTTGTTTTGCTTAAACCTTGAAGCCTCTCGAGAAAGAAGCCCGATTGCAAAGGCGATGTGGACGGTTGGGGGAACTCAGTCGGTGGGCAATAAGTAAAGTTATGATGTAGGGACCTGATTAAGAAACCCTGGGCCTATAACCCCAAAAGAGTGGGATTCATGTTAGGAACCCAAATAAAGGCCCAAGGTTTCTTAATCAGGTTCCTAGGTACCCTCAGAGGGATATTAGGTCATGCTTCTCGTATCTGGTGCTTCGGAAACAGAGGAGACCTAGGCTCAAAGAACATCCCTTCTTCGAGGATCAGGGGAGTTAGTAAGTAGGGTGCCTGCAAGGGCTCTATAAGGGCTCTTCTACGGGTTCTATATAAGGGTGCTATGAGGTTTTCGGGTCTAGGGGAGTGGTGAAAGATGCCTTAATTAGGGGTATAAGATGTACCTATATAGATACTTTACATATAAACATTGCACTTACAAGTCCTCTGATCCAGTAAGTGCTGGCTCGAGTACTCGGAAGCACTTGAGCAAGTGCGAATTGAATCTCTTGCATGACTAGACGGGCGGCGTATTAAACACAGACCCCCGGGAGGATCTAGAAAGTAGATCCTCTAATTTGGGTCCCTATACTACGAAGGGTACTTTCTACGAACCCCCATTACGGGATCTACTTTTTGGATCCTCCCGAGGGTCTGGGAAACCACGAACCACGAAACCTGAGACAAAACCCAACATCCGAATTCTCAAACTTAGCCAGGTTCCCAGTAGACCCGAAGAGAACACGAGGATTCCCCTTTTCAAATTACCTATACTATTTTAGGGATGCCTTTAAGGGATCCTAAAAGGGCACTACGAGGGTTTAGTATAGAGGCCTTAAGAATGTTATTGCTGGGATTTGCAAGGGTGTTGCAAATAAAAACGGAACACAGGGTACTTCGGGGGAAGCTGAATTGACCCCAAGTCCCATAGCCACAACCCCACACCTGAAAGCATGTTGGGCTTAAGCTGGCCGTTTTATGGTTTAGGGCTTAGGGTTTAGGGTTTAGGGCTTAGGGTTTGTGATTGCGGCTCTTGGTGTGGTTATTGCCGCGGCTACCTCTGGTGATGTCTGCTGCCTGATGGTACGGCGGCTCTTCTCATTGCTGCTGCTACATACGCCCTGTCGAGCGTGGAACCACATCCTCTGAACTAAAGCCCTAAGGCTCCAAGTACTCAATATTATAGGACTTTTGGGCCTTTTAGGTACCAAAAACCATACATAAAGATTACTTGGACTCTTAGGGAAGGCCTTACGACCGAGTGGCACGAGATCGTTCGTGTATCGGCTGACAGACACCAGCTCCGTCGGAACCGGCATATCGAATTTCAGCGTATACCTATTCAGGGATGGACGGCCAGCCTCAAATCATAAACTTGAAACACAAAACTCTGGAAGTACATTTTTTTGCCCTAAGGCTCCATGCACCCATATAGTATATACTTAGGCCTTAAATTACCTATATAGGGAAGGGAACCCTTTTAAGGCTTAACTATCTACTGTAAAGCTACATGGAGCCTTTGGGATAATACCCGTTCAGGACCGTTCAACATATGGGTGGTTGTGAAAAGTAGGGTCCCTTTTTGGGTACCCTGAATATTAGGTGCCGTATTATAATAAGAACCTTAGAAGGGACCCTAATTTTGACAGCCCTCCATATCGATTCGGAGAACCTCGGGCCCAGCAACCTGCAAAACCCCGAGAAGCCCAGACCTTCCAACATCCATGTATTGATTAAGGATTACGCCTCAAATTACAGTAGGATCCTTAGTATGATACTAAGGATTTAGGGCTTAGGATTTGAGGTTTAAGGATTAGGGTTTTGGGTTTAAGTTTAGGCTTCAGGGATTAAGGATGACCTGTAGCCGGAAAGACCTACCTTTTAGTGTTCCTCATCATCGTTTTAATATAGTTCCTTGAAAGGGTAGGTCTTCTCGGCGACAGGTACACCTTAAATTACAGTAGCATCCCTCCTATGATTTATGGTATATTGCGGAATTGAGGGAGTTTAGGGTTTAGGGTTTACGGAGTCCTGGCTTTCTCAAACTTCCCAAAAACACCTTACTACTGACACGAACGCTGCTTGGAGGATCCTGGGACTTAGTAAGTAGGGCTACAGCTACCTTCTTTGTACGTAACCCAATGACTAAGTCCGGTGAACCAGGGTACTGACCCATGGGCCATCCGAAACAGCGACCCAACATAAAGCGCACACTGACCATATCCAAGGGTAAAAGGAGGGACCCTTAATAAGGACCCCTAGGTAGATACCCTTAACATAGCTGTTACATACCCATTCTATAGCCCATTATAGGGCAGGGGTCCCCATTAAGGGTCCCTCCTTTTCCCCTTTGATTAAACTAAACCCTAAACCCTAAACCCTATAGACCCCTTTAAAGGAACCCTTATAGATCCCTTTAAAGGAAGCCTTATAGATCCCTTTAAAGGAAGCCATACAAACCCATGATCCTCTAAGTCGGGGCGTTGGGCCCCGACATGAGCGCGAAGTTGTCGAGTTCGTAGGCGAACTTTAAACGAGTAGTATCATAGGGATCCTTAAGGGTGTAGGGGGAGGGGGGGGGTAGGGGGCCTTAAGGCCCATAATAAGGATCCCTATGATAGTATACTCGCAAGAACTTGAATATTATGCAAATTCGGGTGCGTCTATTACATCTTGAACGGTATGCCCTGAACCCCCCAAGTCACCAAGTCTACACCTTCCTCAAGGCTGTGTAGTGTTTTCTATGGGTATGGCGAGGGTCTCATACGGATTGTATAAGGTTTAGGATGTTGAATTTAAGGCTTACGTGCGTCTAGACTGGTGTATTCTCTGCATCTCAGGTCCTTATTGCATGAGGCATATTAACCCTGGGGTGCCGACAACTCAAAAAAACGCACCGAATTCGCCAAGAAAAACCCTAAACTGCTCGTTGTACCCACCTTGAGCCCTGGCATATACCCCCTAGACTCCTAGACCCTCAGCCCTCAACCCCTCACAGAAACCCCTTAGGAGCACCCTTAGTACTTGACAGAACCCTTGTAGAACCTACTGGGAGGAACATGGGACTCAGTAAGTCGGGTCAGACGTCCTTTAGGCTTGCACATAAGTAAACACGACTACAGATACCTTAGTTACAACGCTGCTTAGTAGCCCAAGCGGTTCAACCACACGTTAAGTTATGAGGGGTGTAACGGCAAGGGTACCTGTACATTAGCACCACGAAACCCACAGCAAAATGTAAAAGAGCCATATATATATATATATATACATGTGTGTGTATATATTAAGGACACCCCACAAGCCAGGTTTTTGGGGCGATGGGTAAACCTGGGCACTTCGAGCAACTACCGGCCTGACTGGCGCTTTTCCGGCCTTTCCGGGAAGCAGAGGCTCAACTTTCGAGTTTCTGCTTCGGGTTTGGAGCTTTGGGCTTAAAGGGTTTTGTAACCCTAAACCCTAAATCCTAAACCCTAAAACCCTATTCAAGGTAATGCTTTGCGGCTCTAGCATTGAAGGGCTCAGGGGGTTTAGGTGTGGTTTTAAGGATTGAGATGGGAGTTTCCGAAAATTAGGGGTACTGTATTTTGGGGTCTTTATAATAAGGATCCTACTATTTGGGTACTATATTAGGGTCCCCTATTTTCGGAAGCCCCCAGATAAAGGTGTCTGGTGCTGGAGGAGTCAGGCTTAATCGTCGAACGCAGGGGCTTGTATTGATCGGGTTTAGAGTTTTGGTCCTGGTGTATATCAAACGATTTTTATTAAAGGGAGCCCTGAGGAACATAGCTACTACTGCAGTTAAGGAAACTACTACTTGCTCCGACCGCCATAGTACTAGCATGTGTTTTCAGGCTGAGGACTTGAACCTTCCGTGGCTTCGGGGGTTTAGTTGGGCGGCCTAATTAGGACCGACAAACGTTGGCTCGGATAGGTGACTGGTTTTGGCCTTGGCCGGCCGGACTACCATCGCGATGAAAAGCTAGTCGGGAAACCATGATTCTTGCTGAAAATTTCTTGCTCATATCACATGGGTGTTTTTAACATGTTTTGTCATGACATTTTCTAGTGTGAGGCATGTTTTCAATCGTCCACGCTTTCCAAAAACGACTGAATCTAGGATTGGCGAAGATTAGCACACAAGCTCTTTTTCGCCAGTGTATTGTTGTATACTCTGGTGTATGATTTTTGCAGTATTATGCGAACTGTTTGGACAATCCAAGCCAAATCTAGGATGCTTCAAAAAAGGCAGGCATTAATCCAAAACAACCGACCAATCGGCAAAGCTTACCTTCACGCTTTTTGTGCTCAAGTTTATAGGAAAATATGTTGCTCGCCAGTGTGGTTTCGGAGCTGTTTAGTCTTTTGAATTAACGGAGCGAAGACCAAAACTTCACGAGAAAACTGGTTGCTATATGTTTATTTTGAATGATGTGGTCTGAGATTGAATTTAATGAGCAAATAAGGTTCTAGGCCTTAGGAGGGTTTAGGGGGAAGGTTTCGGGAAAAACGGGTGGTTCCTTGAGGCTTTTGAACTTATGACGCCTAGTGTAGGGTCGGGGTTTCAGGGTTTAGAGTTGTTCGTGTTATTTAGGTTTGACTGTTAGGGCAAACCCGATCTCCGCGAACGGCCGAAGCAACGCCAAGCCGTTTCTCGCTGTAGCCGATCGCCCGCAAGATCCAGCACCTGGCACAGGCTGCGGCCGAAAACGGGCAGGGTTGCGGGGGGGCAAGAGAGAAGGTAGCAGACATGTGCTGGGTGTCCTGTGCAGGCCTACAACACAAAACCAACAACTGCATCATGAGAGCAAGAGCTGCAAATTTTTCTGCTTCTCTGAACGACGTGGTCTGGGCGAGATGCAAGGCCGGCCGCGGTCCTGGCGGCAAACCTAAAGAGAGCCTTCGCTGAAAACTGCCAGTCTCAGTCGAGACGGCACGGGGGTCGTGCTGACCGAACGGCTTTTTGGATGATCTTCAGCAGGCCTGGCAAAGCTAGCCGTCGATTGGCCGGCACGAAGGTCTGCTTCAGGACCTCCAAAACGACCTCATCGTACGGCATGACCTTGGAGCTCTTAGCGAGGGCCATCTCCCGAATGGCCTTGGCCGTCTGCTCCTCGGTGTCCCGGAGGAACGTCGCAGGTGGGATTGTCCACAGCGAGGCCTTTTTGGGGCAACAGATCTCGAACAACGAGACAGCGGCCGCCCAAACGTCGCCGGCGAACGTCACACGTACCTGGCAGGGTAGAGTCTTCGAGGCTGGGGCTGCTAGGGCGGTGCAGAATTAGAACGACAGAGGCAAAGGTTACTGCTTGCTGTACATTTACAAACTCACCAAACAAAAGTCACACTTGAGACCAAAACTCCTGCACACTTGCTACCGCTACTACGGGTTAAAGGGTCCTATTAGGTTTAGCTTATAGGTTTTAGAAATCCGGCCTTCCGATCGGCCGCCATGAGGCACTCCGCACAGCGAAAGGCCTCGGTGTAGACCCGATTGCCGATCACCGTGCAGCCAGTGTCCGAAACGTGCTCCGAGTGGCCGAAATCTGCAACTGCTGCACGAACGCCATCGAAGACCAGGATGTTCGTGGGCTTGACGTCCAAATGCAGGAACGAGCGGCTGTGCACGTAGGAGAGGCCGACAACGAACTGCTGAAAGAGGTTGAGCAGCGACCTTCGCCCGGCCGGCGAGGTCTCCAGGCGGTCGTCCTTCAGCCTGCGAGCCATTTGCTGCAGGCTCTCCGTTGCCCACTCGAGGACCAGAGCTGGCCTTCCGACAGAGCTGGCCTTCCGAGCGAACTGCTGAGAACGGCGAAGGCTCGAACGACGTTCGGGTGCTGGCCAAGCGCCCCGAGAACGGCGAACTCCTCCGCGACGTCGAGGCCACCTGCGGCCGCCCGCTGCATCGGGTCCTGCAGCCCGCGACCCTTGGCCAGCTTCAAGGCCAACGACTGTCCTTGGAACGAGGCCCGAAAGACCTGTCCGTCGACCCCACTGCCCACCTCGACCAAGTCGCGAAAAGGCACGCCCAACGTCCAGGTCCAGGAGTCCTCGAGAACGTCCCTCCTAGCACAATCGGCCTCGATGTCCTCCTGCACTCGAACGGCTATGGCCTCCGCATCCTCGTCTTGGGCACGATCCACCTGCTGTTCGTCGAACAAGACAGAGTCTTTGCTCCGGGCAGTCTTGAAAGCCTCTGCCCTTTGGCGGTTGTCCTCGTAGGCCGCCTTTGCCATCGCCCCGAACTGCTCGCGAATGTCCTTGCTCTTCTTGTGGTTCCTCAGTGCAGCACAGCTTCTGTTTTGCAGGCCCTGAAACAAAACTCTAAAAACCTAAAGCAAAGCACCTCAAAAACGCACCTACAAGCCTACAAGCCCCGTAATTAGGGATGGGTTCCAGGTTTAGGGCTGCGACTTCAACTTAGTTACAGTGATTGGAATGCTCTAGTATTGCTGGCATTCGGGGTTCCGCTGACATGAAAATGTGAATTATTCCAAAACCGGACCTGAAAGGAAAAAAACAATCAAAAACCTTGGAAAAAAGCTGAAAAGCACCTGAAACGCACCTCAAAAAAGCTGAAACGCACCTCCAGGCTTAGAAAGGGTATTCAAGGATGGGTTGACGTTTAGGGCTACGACTTCACAGTATTTACTATTACAGTATGACAACCCTTTAGTGAGTAAGGCCTTCGGGGTCACGTCTGAAGGCTTTGCTGTTCTGGGCAAGGGAGAATAAATTCCCAAAAGACTTATAACTTAAATTAGGGAAGCCATGTCTTCTACTTTCCTCAAAGCTAAAAAATACAGGTCCGAGCAGCCACTTGACCTTCATGGCGGATGCCGTCCGCAGCATCCGCTTGCCACGGATGCGAAACCGGGCCGCCTGTTTTTCTGACAGACCTTCGCGAGAGACCCAGGAGTTGAAGAGACTCCAGGCACTGGCTCTCCGAACGCCTCCCGTCTCCGTCAAGGATGGCCGGGGCATGGCGACTGCGACGGCGACGAACGACTAAGCACGAAGGACGAACGACCCAGGAGGAACGCGACAGCAGGACAAGGACTATTACTGTGACGTCTACTGCGAAAACTTCGGGTGCGAGGAGGACTCCAGGACTAGTAGTAAAATCAAGATGACTGGGACTTGGACCTCTACAGATACTAGTAGCACTAGCAAGACTCCTGCGACTACTGCACCACTGCTAGTACCACCAGCACGACCTGACTGCTTCATCTCCTCTAGTCGCACGAGGAAACCAGACTACCTACAAAGGGATCGCTAGCTTGTGCATCGCTCTAAGCCACAGAGTGGAGTCTTCTCAAGTGCACAGCCCAACAGCAGGAAGACTACGCATCACCGGCACTGCACTGCAGACCAATCATGCCGTATAGGAGCCTGCTTCACGCCGACGCTGGAGGACGAGCTTGAAGACGGCCTGCTGTTGACCTGGGCGAAGCAAGGCGACAGGTTCTGCTATTGAGTTCGAAAGCACAGTGCTCAAACGAAAGCTGCTTATGCACTGAAACTGGTGGTCTGCAGCTGCAACCTTTTCGAAGCACGGAGCTCGTTCGAGTGACTGCTTCCGAACTTCCAGCAAAAGAAGGGACGTCCACCGTGAAAGCTTCCAGGAACGACCAGGAGCACTCAGGCCGACAACTTCTTCAGGATCGTTGCGGCCTCGTCCGACATGGCGAGGCCCGCGAACGTCTCCGCCCAGTCCCAGCTTTGCTCAACCGCAGCCCGCCCGGCCGGCTTGCTGCCGACCTGAGTCCAAGAAATGCTTCTGGTGGCGAAGGCCCAGGCCGTGCTGTACGTGAGGCTCCATCGGCCGTTCCGGTCGTCGGTGTACACACGAACGCCCGGCGGCACGGCAGCCTTGAGGACCCGGTCGACGTCCACGTTCACGTCGTCGTAGACCCTCTTCGCCTCGGCCGCCCGTGCTTTCTGCTCCTGAACGGCCTTCTTCTCCTTCTCCTTTCGCTGGGCCTGGAACTTCTTGTACTCCGGCCGACCAGCGAACGTTTTGGCCACGTGCTCGTAGGTGTGAGAGGCCCTCTTCCGCACGTCCTTGGCCGACGCCTGACCGGCCTTTTTGTTCGCCAGATGCTTGAGCGCCTGCTCCTGATCTGCGGCCAGCATGGTGTCCCGCACGAGCTCCTCCAAGTCGATGCCCGTGTCGATCGACCAGGGAGCGGCCTCTTGGCGGCTCAGCAAGCGGCCGACCACTTCTTCCTTGACCAACGAAGGGTCGAGCGACAGCAAACAAACTATCGCTAGGCGGTCGTCTTCCTCGTGTCCTGCCTCCTGGACCGAGACCGGCCACTTTTTGGCCTGTGCAAGCTTCCGCAGAGACCACTCTGGCACTCCCGCGAACCCGTGCAGCTCGTGGTGGCGGAGCAACGAGTGCCGGGCCTGCTTTGGTGGGTTTTGCTGTTCCGTACTTATATGTCGAGTTATATGTCGGTCATGTGCAATTATAAATCATGCAAGGCCATTTATAAGTAGTGTATTGACATAGCAAGTGAGTTGTAAGTCCATACAGAGTTATATTTGCCTTATAACTAATTGAAGGAGTTAAGGCTCCACTTATAAGTCCCAGTCAAGTCCTCGCTAAGTAGTTATAAGTGGGAGTTATAAGTCCGCCGTAAGTCCACTCGCTGGGAGTTATAACTCCGACGCCCCCGCAACGCTATTTCCCGAAAATTGTATCCGTGGGCCAAAAATTGAACCGCCCAAACCAAAAAAAACGTCGCCTGAAGTCCGAAATCCAACCCCCCCAAAACAAAAAAACAACGAGCCTCAAGTCGAGAATTTAACCGCACCAAAACCAAAAAAAAACGTCGCCTGAAGTCGAAAATTGAACTCCCTCAAACCTAAAAAAAATTAGCCTCAAGTCGAAAATTAATTCACCCAAACTCAAAAAAACGCATACCTGAAGTCGAAAATTTGACACTTGTAAGTTGCAAAAACATGCCAGCTGAGTGCCAAAATCTGCCAGCCCAAGAACCAAACGATGCTACCCGAAACCGGGCCCTTGACCCCAAACCCCAAGCCGTCTTAACCTCAAACCCGAACTCCAAATCCGCTGTGAACGTGGCTCTAAATGAATGCATGGAGGCATCGCCCCGTGCATCTTGTGCAGGAGGCTTCGCCCCTGCATGCACTGCATGGGCATAGCAGCACGCATGACACAGCAGACAGACACACACGAAGCCAGACGCACTGCAGACAGACACATGTGCAAGCCCATGGCATATATAGAACATGCAGGCAAGTTCCTGAAACCTCAGCAGCGGCACAGCTGCTTCGTTGCGGTCGCCATGGACAAGCTCCCGGCGAAGTCCGCGGCGAAGGGAAAAGGAAAAGGAAAGGACCCTGAAGAGAAGGGAAAGGGAAAAGGAGAAGGAAAGGACCCTGAAGAGAAGGGAAAGGGAAAAGGAGAAGGAAAGGACCCTGAAGAGAAGGGAAAGGGAAAAGGAGAAGGAAAGGACCCGGAAGAGAAGGGAAAAGGAAAAGGAGAAGGGAAGGACCTCCAAGAGAAGGGAAAGGGAAAGGAAAAAGGAGAAGGGAAGGACTCCGAAGAGAAGGGTCCGGGAAAAGGAAAAGGGAAGCGCCCAGAAGAGAAGGGTCTTGGAAAAAGCAAAAAAGGAGGGAAGGACCTCGAAGAGAAGGGAAAGGAAACAGGAAAAGGGAAGTGCCCCGAAGACAAAGGAAAAGGAAAGCACGTCAAAGAAGAGGATCCCTCAGAGAAGGGAAAAGGAAAAGGGGAGGGCCTCCAAGAGGAGGTGAAAGAAGAAGGGAAAGGAAAGGGAAAGGAAAAGGAGGAGGAGGAGGAGGGGCCCATCGTAGACGAAGTCTACGATGGGCCCTACGAGGTCCAGGCGGGGACCCTGACGGCCGCTGAGCGAAGCGAGATCTTTCAGGCCACGGGCATGAGGGTCTCGCTTCGCTTGAGGAACTCCTGGCAGGGGCGAGCCATGGTCCTGACCGGCCCCAGAGACGGTCACTTGCCGGAGGCTTTGTCCATGGCTTGGCGGTACATAGAAGCGTCAGCCAAGGCAAAGCCCCCGGCAAAGGCCTCGCCAGCGGCCGCTTCCACTCCAGCTCCAGGAGCGAAGCCGGCGAGGCCTCGCCCGCCGCCAGCAGCCAGGCCACCCACCTCACCCTGGCCCCAAGCCTTCCCGCAGGCATGGCAAGCCCCGCCCCCGCCGTTCCAGCCCTCCTTCCCAGCCCAACCTGCCTTTTTGGACCAGCAACCTGGCTTTTTGGGGCAAGGCTTCCTCGCGCCACCGCCTTTAGTGCCAGGGCTGCCTGATCCCTGGCTGCAGGCCGCTCAACGTGCGGAAGCTGCAGCGGCCAGGTCGGAAAACGCGGCCAGACAAGCAGAAGCAGCATTGCAGGCAATGCACAAGCTGCAGCTGCGGCCGCCGCCGCCAAAGGCCCGGAGCAGCTCCTCCGACGAGGCCGGGCCTAACACACATGCAAGTTGTAATCACACATGGCTTCGCCTGTGTGATTACAAGTAAATGTGCAGAAGCACCTGTGGCTTCGCCCTTGGGCTTCTGCACAAGGGTACACACATATATATATATATGTATACATACAAATTTATATATACATCTTTACTCTTCCTTTATACATATATCTTTATATAGAGACATAGATACGCCTCAAATCCTGCCAACAACCGACAGGCGAGCTCCGCCAGCTCGGAAAGCCCAAGGGCTCCCGCCGCTGTCGAAGTGAAGCCGGCGCCGAAGGCCAAACCATAAACCCCTAAACCCTACACTCTAAACCGTGGGTTCAACCAGGCTCAACCAAAACCCCCCTATATATAATAGGCCTAAACCCTAAAACCCTGAAGGTCGGCTCAGACTCGTCCGAGAGCTCAGAAGCTGAGGAAGCCCCGCCGGGCAAGGTGCAGGCGAAAAAGGAGGCAGAGGAGGAAGAGGAGGCCGGGCCCTAAACCTTAAATCCAATATTCCATCCTTAAACCCTGAAGGTGGCCAAAGCCGCACCTGCGGGGCAAGATCTACCGATGAAAGAGGAGGAGGCCCGTTTTTATAAGCCCTAAACTTATAAAATATAATTAGGGAGAAACCCTGAACCCAAAAAAAGCCTAAGACTTAACAACATGCAGGTGGACTACGAGGAAACACCGGTGCTGCCGCAGGAGAGGCACCTCTCTCCCACGTCGGAGGCTGGCCCCGGCAGTGAAGCGGAGGAGGAGCCTCCCGTGCCGTCGGACTGCCCCGACAAAGAGGCGCAGGAGGAGGAGGACGTGCCCTTGCCAGGCGTAGGGTCCAAGAGCAAGGCCCCTTCGCCTTCGCAGTTTCCTCGTAGCTGGCCTGCCCCACCTCTCAAGAAACCGAGGGAAGGCTAGAGAGTGTGAGACTTCAGGCAAGAGACCTGGAGCAGCTCTAATCGGCGAGGCTTCGCCCGCCCGCATGTGCATGCACGCAGCACGCCATGCATGCACACAGCCATGGAAAACAGGGCTCAACTTTTTATGCACGCATGCATGCCACACATCTGCATGTTCTGTGTGAGCGAGGAATTGGTGATTCGATGTTTTGAGCTCTTATCGGCTCGTATACAGTTGAAGCATACAAAAGCAGAAACCCTTTTGCACAGTGCCCGCCTGAAACCCTAAACCCTAAACCCTTAAACGATAGACGCTGAACCCTAAAACGTGTAGATGTATCTATATACAAATATGCATACAGAGTAAAAACTCAGATCCTTTGCGAGATATGTTAGGAGCAAGCCTGCTTGGTCAAGGCCTCGCCTGACCATTTCTGTGGATGTCAAGGCTCGCCTGACATGAGCACCTTTGCCATGGATGGCGCTGAAGCGCCCCTTGCAGGCTGAGACGCCGAGGAAGAAGCTGCCAAGGGCGATTTCCTTCTCTACGCTTGCAGACCTGCAGGACTCAGGGAAGAATCTGGATCATCAAAGGAAGGTCATTCGTGAAGGCCTCCGCAGACCGCTGGAGGAGGACGGGCCATGTGGCAGAGTGCTGGATTCTTTAACTGTGCCACTCGATGGTGAGCCATGGCAGTGGCACATTTTGCGGCCAGCTGCTTTGCTGCACAGACTGTGCAGCATCAACAGAAACTTCGGCGACCTCGTGGCCGTCTGTGAAAACGTGGTGGTATACGCAGACGAGATTGTGCCAGGAAATGTGCTGAGGCCTGATAAAGGTCGAGAGCAGCTGGCCTTCTATTGGACTCTGAAAGAGCTACCGACCTGGTTTGTCGGCAGAGACCAAGGCCAGGGATGCTTAAAACACGCGGATCGGGATCAGGACAAACGTAGCTGTCATGTATAATTGGGTGAGATGTTTCATCAAACTCCCTGAGGATGGCTGTTTTTCGGCTCGTTTCCAACGAGCAAGATCTCAGATGTCGAGGGCGGCTACAGCTTTCTCTTCGGCCTCATGCTGGAGTGCTTCTTCGACCTGCAGCAGGACGGCCTCAACTTTGCAACAGGCCTCCCGCTCAGCAGGAGGTCCGGGCATTTTAACTTCAAGCCCAAGTTTGGATTCTTGATTGCCGATGCCAAGGCTCTCAAACAGCTCTGGAACCTCACTGGTGAGAATGGTACAAAGCCCTGTTTCTGCTGTGCGAACGTGGTAGGCAGGATGTCGCCCGAATCCATTGCCAACCACGACTATTTGGTTCATGTCAGCAGCTCTGACAAGGACCGCTTCCAGCTGCACACGTCGGATACTGGCAAAACGATGGTGCGAGACCTGGCCGATTTGGCACACCGCCCGAACGAGCAGAAGAAGCTCGGTCAGCTTTGTGGCCTGCAGTACCACGCCAAAGGCCCGGTGGGTGTGCATGACCAAACAATCAGTCTGATGTATGTGGTTGTTTGCCTTTCGCTCTTATATTTAAGGGCAGAGAGTTCTAATAACGAAAAACACACAGGGACACAGAGCCTGGAATCATTACACTTCAGCATGCAGCCCCCTTTGAGGCGCCCTGTGGAATCCTCGTCTCCCGATGCTGAACCACGTCGAGCAGACCATGTATGACTGGATGCATGTGCTCGTTGCGAGCTCGGGTGTGGGCCAGTACGAGGTGAACGAGTTTGCGAAGGAGTTGCAGACGACCTGCAATCTGAGCTTCGAGTTTCTCGACGACTTCGCAAACACGTTCAAGCTGCCAGCATGCTACACCTCCCTGCCGAAGACCTTTTTCCAGGACCGGGTATGCATGCAGCCCGACTCTTGCATCAGAGGCTTTGGCTCGGAGATGCTGGTGGCGGTCACGATTCTTGTGGCCCTTGTCCAGACCGTGCTGGACCCGGCCGGTCTTCTTCCCCAGCACTGCCGCTGCATGAAGCTCCTCGGCGACATTTTGGATATCTTGTCGTCTTCCGCAGCTCGCAAGGCGGTGCTTCTCGAAGAGGCCGTGACCGAGCACAACCTGCTCTATGCCGAGCTCTATCCTGGGTGCCGCAAGCCAAAATACCATTGGCTTTTTCATCTTCCGGCACAAGTGCTGAAATTCGATGCAGTCCACAGCTGTTTCGCGCCAGAGAGGAAGCATCGAGCTGTGAAGGCCATTGCCAGCCACGTCACCGGCCCTACGATCAGCCAGCACATTGCCCTCAGACTGGGGGCGGAGCTTTTGGATTTCTTTGCAACAGAGGATGTCTGCCGCTCCCACTTCTTGCTGGAGCCCATACGTGAGGTGCCGTGGGCAAAAGAGGTCGTGGCCTCTCTTCTGGGCACCGATGTGATTGGTGTTCAGGCGGCCAGGACAATGGTCACCCCCACTGGCCGCATCTTCACCGGTGATGTCGTGTCCTGGCAAAAACATGAGCTGGCTGTATTGTATTTTCCTCTCTCTATATATATATATATATATATATACATGTGTGCATGTAATTGCAACCCTCATTCAAATGTAAGTCGACCTTGGCCTTCGGAGGTTTTCTGGCCCGAGGAGAAGATGATTGGGGAAGTGCAGGCTCTGCTCTGTGCCGTCGTCATGTCTGGACGGCATTCCTACTTGGCACAAGCCAACCTGCGGCAGCACGTGGGGGACAACGTTTTTCACAGTCGTGGCCGACCCTGCCTCACGCTGCTGACGGACGGTGTTAGGGCAGTCATATATGGCAAAAAGGCCGATGGATCCCTCCAGGCCTGCCTGACTT